CCTCCCAACAATAACAACAACTAAAAAAAAGCAGCACCAACAACCACTGGATTTCCACCGAAAACCGATTAAGGTAACCCCGAAGCTCGAGTCTCTCACTCAATCAACAACACATAACACTGTGCAAAAAAAAAACAACAACAACAACTGTTCAACCAAACAGCGCTAGAATTATTATGTGTCAGCACAAATTTATTGAACAATGCAATCTCTTCAAAGTCCGATTTCTCTTTCTCTTTCTGTGACGACCAAAAGAGGACAAAACTTTCAGAGTCGAGGAGACACACGCCTCGATTGACGCAAAATTAAACTCATAATTCACTTTGAAGAGATATGGTGTGTGTTGGAGTAAAGAGAAGCACATCGACACAACCATGGTCATTTAGTGCTGGGGAAAAAGTAAGATAGACAGACAGAGAGAAACAACAGAGGGAACGTAATGAAGTAGGACCTACCAGTTGCGCCCTCCAACCGCCCGCTAGCTATGGTGTGTTAAGATGCGCACTCATTATTGTTTTAATAAGAGTTTTTACGGCACTAGCAACAGAATAAGGACATATAAGTGCCGAGGATTAGAGGTACTACAAGAGAGTTACAAACACAAAATAGAAGGAGGGGAGATAAGGACGACAGTTGTTTGATAGGACAGAAGAAGCAAACCATACCAGAGCACCCGCCAACCACCCACGGTATCTCTGTATCTTTGTAAAGTATTTCAGATTTGACGATGATTAAAAAAACTGTACGCTCCTCTCTCTACTTTCAAGTATTATAATATCCGGCTGTCAGTCCATCACGTTTTACCTTCTTGTTCTGACAACAGTCGCGCGTGTCCTAGACGAACAAAGCAATATTAATAATAATCATTATTATCATTGCAAAAATAATAATGATGATGAATTGCTTTCATTCTCATTATTATTGTTATCATTACTATTATTATTATTATTATTATTATTACTATTATTAGTATTACTATTATTAACATTATTATTATTATCATTATTATCATTACTATTACTATTATT